GTTGTTTCTAATTAATGCCCAGTCACAGTCAAGATGTCCAGACTGTCTCAGTCAGCCACAAGCCTTTCTTAGCATTCTTTTTCTATTCTTAGCCAGCCTTCTGATGAAATCCTTTCTTCTATTCTTTTAGTATAGTTTTAATATAATATATATCGTAAAATAATAAATCAAGCCTTCTGAAACATGAAGTCAGATCCTCGTCTCTTCCCTCATCCTCAGACCCCTGTGAACACCAGCACAGAAGGGCAGATAAATGAAGCAGCACAAAGCAGCCTAGGGCAAAGGATGCACAGGAAAGCCCTAACAGAGCATGACTGGGTAGCTAAAGAGCTGTCAGAGGTCACAGACCAAGTGCAGGAGCCACGTGGCTCAGGACACAAGACTTGGATAATATTGATTAAATATGGGCAAAGTCTAAGGAGGTGCTTGGTTTGATTGGGCAATATTTGGGCAAACCGAAATGAGAAGAATTTTAAATCTTGGTTCCATTTTGCTTGACTATTAAAATCCCACAAATTAGGATATAATTTGTGTTTCAGCAATACTGATATCCCCCTGGGTAAAGAATGAAATTGCTGTCTGAAACATGGGGTGAAATACCAACATCATCTACTGCTATTCAAATTCTTAAAAAATGAAGGAGCAGCAGCAATTTACTCCCAAAGCCTTTTGAGATGCCAGCTGCTTCCTGACAGACCCTGAGGCCACAGCATGGAGGCACCAACCATTATGCTAAGTGATGCCCCTGGGCATGTCAAGCACTGTGTTACTATGGCTCAGCTTGATGATTCCAGAACCTTCCCCACAGCCTCTCCACTTGTAACCAGTCTTCAGGCTCTCAACTGGACTGAAGATGATAACTTACCCTGACAGTGATTTATCCGAGTTTCTCAAAGCATTAAAAGCTGTGGCCCAGTCTCCCATCCTTTATCACTGCAGACAGTAATTTGATGCTCTGCTGGATGATCAGCCTTTTGGGAATTTGCTGGCTAATGAAACACTGCTATCAGTTTTATCAAATCTTTCTAGAGCTTCACCCAAGGGAAATCACATAACTCAGCCATAGCACCAGCAATCCATTTCCCAGGATGGTCCTCATAAAGCAACTGTGAAACCTGGGATTTTTGCACCTAAAATTTGCCCCAAGTCTGTGGGTTCCACTCACTGAGGATCAGAACAGGAGCCAAGAGGATCCATTTCCCAGCTGTGCATCTGGAATGTTAACAAAGGCATAAAAGCCATGGCTTCTCACCCACTGGGCTTCTCAGAACTGCAATTAGCAATGCCAGGGGATCCTGGTCAGCTCTTCCAGGCTAATCCACAAAATATCCCCAGACTAAAAATCTCTAAAGGCTGCAGAGAGAGAACCATGAGGCACAATCCATTGTGACACAAGACTCGTGGCCAGACCCTCAGAGGGAGCAAGGATGGGCAGGGAGGAGCTCACAAGGAAAGGGCAGCTTGGACTTGGCTGGCAGCTTCACTTAAGGACCATCTCTGGCCCTTCCCAGGCAGCTGCCCTGGGTCTGTGCCAATGACTGGAGAAAGGGACAAACTCAAATTTCAAATTACTGCAGGCTCTAGCCCCAACCTAAAAGGTCGATATATTTTTTTTTAATAGTTTCAGTCATACCTTGTAAAAATCAAATTAATAATTCTGGTCACATCAAAACAGCTTTGTGAACTGAAACGATAATTTCCATTTCCCATTGTGAAGACTGTTCAAAAGAAAGAGGGTAGTTTTGACATAAATCTCCCTCAGATATTCACAAAGTAGAGCCTGGAATGCCTGTTCCAGCTTTATTGCAGCAAAATCTTTCAGTTAGGAAATGTGCATTGACATTTTTGTGAAACAAGAGATTACAGCTTAAAGGCATGACATGCCTTCAGCAGTGGGAAATGGTTTTAAATGCTCAGCTTTGCAAAGAGCTACACGTTTAAGAGTGTGACCAGACCCTGGTGCAGGACAGGAGCCAGCCACGGGCTCCAGGACTGGCAGTGGGCAACAGAGCCCTCCTGTGCAGCTGCACAACCTATGAGACCCCCTCCCTGGTGCCTGCACAGCCCTTGGAATAAGGTATTGTACCCTGGGCTGGTGCAAAAGTCCAGGTGCATGTATCCAGGAACATCTGTAGGCAGGTTTATAGCAGCATGAGCTCAAACATGTGGGCCATTAAGCAGATAAATCAAACAGCAGCTCTTCCCAAGAAAAAAAATCTTTCTTTTGCATTGAGAAAATGAAGCAGAAGGGAAGTTTTCTGAGGTCACATGCCAGCTGTAACCTACTGAGCTGTATATTCACAGGGTATTGATGAAAGGAGGTTGAGGATTGTTTCAGCTCTAACAAGCTCTCCTGGCCCTGCTGGAGCACTGCAGTGCTCACAGCTGAACAGCCACCTCCTCATTCCCATGCTGCTCTCACTCCTTGGCTTCTTTTGATGTTTAACAATCTGAGAGTCTGCAAATTGGACTAGTCACAATTCTCATGTTCAGCCTTGTACCAGAGATTTGATAAGCCCATCCAAATCTGGCTGCACATCCCTTACCCCACTGGCTCCAAAGAGCAACAACCTGGAAATTTTCAAAAGGATGGGAGGGAACACCAAACTTGGAGGGACTGACACTCCAAAAGCACTCACACCAGTGGCCTGTCCCACATGTTATGTTTTGCTTTAGATCTTCCTGCATTTGGCAGTGACATGGGGAACAGAACTGTCTCACTGCCAGCCCCATTCCCTCACAGAGCCACTGCAGTCCCAGCAGCAGGAGCCCACGGGCAGGCAGGGACACACTGTGCTCACTTCCACCCCCAGCTTTGCTTTGGGCTTGTTTGCTTCTCACCAAGCAGGGCAGCCTGACCCAAAGATGGCTACTCTTTACTTGCCTCTAAAAAGGAAACATTTCCTTGGGAAAAAAAAAAACCTAAATATGAAAAATGAGGATCCAGTAAGAAGTTCCTACAGGCTGGATTTCTGTCAGCTCCTTACAGTGACAGACTGCAAAGCTTCCCATACTGACATACACAAAGTAAGACAACTTCTTTGTTATACTTGATGACACCAAGTAAGAGAGTATTTCTCTCTCCTGTGCCTACCAGACATGCAGAGCATGCACTGAACTGTCTCTTACACAGCAAGTTCCCTGCCCACACCTTCTTCCAACAGCCTGAACTCCTCCTTTACTGTTTCCTTGTGTGTCCTCAGGGATAGATGACTCTTTCATCTCACCCATCCTTCCCACGGTTAAAGAATGCAGAATGAAGCCTGTCTCTCAAGAACACCAAAGGATATCAGGTTTACAAAGCACCTGGTGAGCAACATATTTACCTCCCCAAAATAAAAGCAAATTAACAAACAAATTGATTTCCAAGACAGGCTGGCTTTGATTTTTAACACCATAAAGGCTAATTTCAGCAACAGCTGTTTGATCAATATCATGCCCAGTCCTGCTCTTCTCACATCCCAGAACAGTCTGTGACTGAATTTATTGATTGTTTCCAAGTGCTGCAGCAGGTCTGGTACCTCGTGTGAGCACACTGCCTTATTCCTACACCCCACATCCCAGACTCCACACATGAACACACCAGATGCAGCTTTTTCTTCTGCTCAGATCCATCCTCTGATTTTACCTTGCAGATCCCCTTGTTTTGGCAACTGTTGTGCCAAAATTCCTCTCCCCAGGCAGTCTGTGAGCATATCACTCTAAACTTGCCATCACTCCTGTAATTTGCTATGCCAACAAAATTGCAAACAGGCTGCACGGCCAATCTGGATCACCAAGCAATTTATGATCTGTTTCTGTTTTGTCCAAAGCTTTCCCTTGGGTTTTCTCAGTTTGGGGAGGAATTGGTGCTCACAGGACACAGCCCTCACATCACAGGCTTCTCCAGAGCCTGCCCCCGCCAATGTTCCTCACAACCCCTGCTGGAGAGGAGACCTCTGCCACTGATGCTCCACTTGGCCCATAAAACATTACACTGGAGGAATTTTGGCAGCCTGCTGTTTATGGAACGTGCATAATCCAGGCCCTGACCCTCTGCTGCCCTGCTTGGGGCCAGCACCCAAAGCCCAGGCTGAGCCCAGGCTGCAGAGCTGCAGGAAGGGCAATCTCCCTGTTCTGCTGCCCTGAAGCAAGGGAATACATTCAAACTCACTCCTTTGTCTCACTGCAAGCCCAAAACATTTTTGATCTATTTTTTAACAAGTCAAGGGGTAAAAAAGAAAATAAAGGCTTTCTTCTTCATTCTTATTTCTCATGTCATAGCTTCTAAAATTCCCTGCAACTGATGGGTCTGAAAATCTCTGGTTTGCAGTAGCAACTGAACCAGCCTTGAATCTGAGCAAAGTTCATCCATATTCACAGCATTCAACAGCCCTCCAGCCCCTCACCAGACTTAATGAAGTGTAATGAAAGAAAAAGAATGAGCTTTGTCCTCACTGCCAAAGGAAAAGGCAGCTGGAAATATGCAGGGGCTTGATATGAATTGAACATGATTATGTATGTGATAACCACTGTTCTGAAGAAAATGGTGCTGTTATACCTAAGGAGCCCTCAGCAGGCCCTTGTAATTAGAGCCACTTAGCTGCTTTAATTGCCTCTGAAAGCCACCCAGAACAGATTGCTTTTATGCTCTTTCCATTTTAAAACCAGGCACAGAAATATGGAGGCACTAACCTGCATCCATCTGGGTAATGGGGATTCAGGGGAGGGAGCTGGACAGGTATTTACAGGGAAGGGCTCAGTACTGGACCCACAGGGCAGGAGGATGTTATGGTGATGTGTGGGCACACCGATGCTGGAGGATGGCTACCACAGCCCACAGGTGAGCTACAGAACTCTGGTCCCACCACCCACCCCCAGCAAAGAGCCAAAGGATGTGTCACAGCAAGGCTGACAGTGAGGCACAGCTCACCATGGTCCTTGATGGGGTTCTCACAGTGGTATGCAGTGCCCTGAATTTGTGTCTGCCCACTCACTCATCAAAAACAGCAATCCAACTCTAAATTAACAATCTCTTTTCTGTATTCTTCATTGATTCACAAAGCTGAAAATATTATCTTTCTCTCCTTCAAATTAATTACATTAATGGTTCACAGTTTCTTGGGAAACAATTCCCAACTCAGTTCTGGCAATGAAGCAAGACTGGAATCTGGCCTAAGTTATTCTTCTAGGAAAGACCAATTGGAGCTGTTCTGGAGAGAAGAAAATGTCCCCTCTCTTCCTTGGGGAAGGAGAGTATTCCAGAAGGAGCTTTTTTAAACATTCTTTGTCTTCAGTCAGTTCAGAGAGTCCTTGGATCTCTCCTGGAGAGAGATGGCTGAGGGGAGGGCTGAGGAGAATATATGAAGAGGTCAGGGCTCCAGCTTTCCCTCCTCAGCTTCTAGAAGCACAGTGCACAATTGAAATGATGCCCCAAAATCTTTGCTGTGGACAAGGATCCAGCCCCAGCTCCAAGCACACAGCCCAGTGTTTGTACATGGCTTTCAGAGCCCAGAATTCTTTTGAGACATGAGCTTGAACCCATCATCCAGGATGGATCTGCGATTGCGCCGTAGCCTCCTCTGCCTCTCCAGATGGATGACTGCTCCCAGGAGCACACCAGCAGCCACGAGCAGCAGCACTCCCACAACAGCCAGGGAGATGACTGTGGCCTCTATCTGTCCTTGGGTCACCTTAGATCCAAACAGCATCACCTTCTGGGACCCATCCTCATCCTCAAGTGCCAACCCTGAGAGACAAACAGAAAGGTATTTGCAACAACAGCCAGCAAAACCAGAACTGAAAGGTTGCAAGAAATGCAACAAAGGAGTATTAAGAAAAACATGCAAAGTAGTGGAATCACCAACCCTGGAAATGTTCAAAATATGGAGCTTAGAGACATGTTTCAGTGGTAGACATGACAGTGCTGAGTTCATGGCTGTACTCAATGATCTTAGAGGTCTTTTCCAATCTTAATGATTCAAAGGAGCCATCCATCATCAGACCCTCATCCCTGAGCCCACACAGAGATTTGAGATAGATGGTTCCTTCCCCAACCTGCTCCACCCCAGAACCTGTCAGTGTCTCACAGGTGTCCAGGCCCAGTGTCCCCTGCAGTGCCCAGCCCAGAGATGAGAACACGTGTCCAGGCTGGGCTGCTGCAAGCTGCCCCAGTGCAGGCTCCCTGTGCCCATGGCTGCTGCCCTACACACCCCTGAGTGCACTCACTCAGCCATGCCCATGCTGAGTCACCTGAGCTTGCTTGTGCCTCCACACAGAGGTAGCAGCCACCTCCTCAGAAAAAGGGCTGTCTGCTCAGGCAACAACTGTTGGCCAAGGTTTCTACCTGCTGAGCACACACAAGCTGATATCTGCATTTGGTATAAAACCTAATTATTTAATATATAGCCACCATTGCTCTCACATATTTCCTACTCCTCTTCTGGTTTGTCCATTTTGAGTGAGGAAAACGTTGGGGAGAAAATGACTGAAATATCAGTGGAGAAGGTCTGAGTTGTAGGTAAGTGGCTGCATTTGTAGCTGGCCTGAACTGGCTCTCAAATTAGCTCAGCTGTATTTCCTCACAGCAGCTGAAAAATGGAGTTGTGAAGAGGAAAAATCAGGAAAATAAGCCACCAGTGAACATTACTCAGACTTCTACCACAGAAAATTTCAAGGGCATCATATCTACTACTCCCCTTCTCCCTATGCTGCTCAACCAAATGCCTTTCACATCTGTTCTTTACAACGCTCAGAAAACTCCAGGCACATGCTTGGGCTCTTTTCTCAGGGGAACATCAGAGCAGAAGGCAGATGTGCTTGTTTGCATGCTGACTCCATCCCTTCAGCTTGTAGAGATGATTGTGAAACTTCCCTAAACCACAGGGTCACTGACAGTCCAAAGAGGGAAGACAACCCATCCCAGGCACCTTCCTCCAAATCTCTGCCAGTACCTAAGCTCACACTCTGAATCTGAATCCATTCATAGCAGGCACAACAGGGTGTGAGGTCACCAATCTCTTTCACCTAACACAGGCAAACAAACCCAACCAGCCCAACTCCCCTATTTCTATCACCAGAGGACAGACTGGTGCCCTCCCTGTTATCTACTGAAGCAAGGCTTCACACCAAGGACCTGCCAGGCTGGCAGAGTAGAGGCTGTGGGTGCTGTGTGCTCCTCCCTCCCCTTACACTGACCCAAACCTCTCTGTTGCTCAGGGATTGCCCTCTCCCCTTCACACAGACAGGGTTTGGCAGGGCTGTACACACCATACCTGGGGTGGCAGTGATGTCTTCCAGCTCTGACTCTGAAAGGAAACAAAAGGAGGGTGAGAAGGTGTTGGGCTGAGCAGGCAAAGCCCAGAACAAGGCACATCTGGCAAGGGTCAGACTCAGAGGCAGCATGGTTTCCTGGACTAGCAGGCTATCCTTTGTCCTGTCCATATTTTCCCTCTCTACATGACATGAGAATTTTTGTATCACCTGCTCCAGAGGCAGCCCCAGTTCCAGTGCACAATGCTTTTCATCCTTCAGAAGGAAAAGTGCTGAGGGAGAACCAGAGATGACCCTGACACTGGGCAGGCACTGGTCACCTACAGCTAAAACACTGGGGCATTCACTGTTTTGGTAATAACATCTAAAACCACATCACCATGTGGGCTCCAGTACTGAGGGTCACTCACCTCTGAGCACCTTCCAGTTCTCAGCAAGAGCAGTTACTGGCTGAGAGCTGAACACAGCATTTCACACACAAACTAAAAATAAAACTCAGAATAACAACACAGGTAATGTAAACTCCAGAAAACAATTTGTTTTAACTCCAGCTCCAGGTATTACCATATTTAAAGGGAATATCATAATTTAATACCACTTAAGTAATTATCTGCTCCATTAACTGGCTTTTTATAGTATGTGAGAGTTGAGATACACTCAGAATTCCACAGCAGTAGCAGAAGTGCTGCTGGATGTTTCACAGTGACAGCTCCCTACCTCCTCTAGGCAGGACAGTGAAGAGGATCTCCATGCCAGCATGGATATGGTCAGACACATGACAGTGAAGCAGCCACGTCCCAGGGTTCCCAACCAGCATCTCCACCATTTCAAAGGTCCCAGGGAACAGATCCACAACATCTGCTCTGTAGCTTTTGCCATTCTGTCAGAAAAGGGAGGCCATTACCAGCAAAGCTCAATGCATCTTCTCAGGAAGAAAATTCTGCCAGTACTGCTGGGGACTTCAGCTTTTTAATGCTCAAAAAACCCCAAAGCTTTCAAAAAGCAGATCCAGGCCTCCAGCTTGGAAAGCAAACAGTCTTGTAATGCCTAACCCTAACAAGGATTAAGCTGGACATCTCAGCACAACACAGGCTCAGGGAGTCAGACTGGGATGTGTAAAACCACATCCTTTTCCTAGCTGGGTGGAGCTTCTGCAGTTTCATTAAAATACATTCAAACACAGAGACAAGTAGAAGTGCTGGTATCAGTGGTCAGTATCTGCTTTACCATCAGCAGATATTCTTACCTTGTATATGAAGGTCTCAGCATGAAAATGGACTGTGTGGACATCAACCTCATGACCCATTCCCAGCAGGTACCAGTTCACCCTCTCTCCCTCATGCATGGTCAGCCCAGGCAAAGTGGCATAGAGCCTGCCATTGATTGCTGTGAGGGAATGACACAGAGGGGAGAGGCTGTCAGCTGTCAGTGAAATTGCATGGGTGGTGCACAAATTAGAAGCTACAAAGCTCATACAGCACCCAGTGTACCAGCAGTCAGTGTCCCCCAGCTCAGCTACTTATCCTCTCTGCTCACAGACAAGTCACTGGCACTCAAGGCCATGCTGTAGCTCAGTTCAAATAAATCTCAAAAATCACCTTTGCTGAAAACCTGCAGTCAGCCAGTAGTGGTTGCTTCTACAAGTCAAAATGCATAAAAATGGCATTTACAGCCCAATGATGGAGAAATGTGTATATATCTACATGCACATAAATGTCTGAGCAATTTCCTTGATGAACACTGAAAAGGAGTAAATCCTGCCAGTGGGTAGGATTTATCTACTTTCTCAAGAAGGAATTCTGCTGTGACTGCACATACAGGAAAGAGATCAAAACAGTGAGTGAGCTGACTGCTATGGCACACACATGGAGACTTTCATGCTCAGATGACAACAGAGGGAGTAAGATGGAAAGAGGCAGGATCTGAGGGCAGAGCACCAGGTTTTTACTCCCAGGTCTGACCTGGGCAATTTGTGCAGCCTAAAGCAAGTATCCAAGTTCAGCATGGTGGTTCTGCTAGCTGTAATACAGGGTTAACAATTACACCTTCATGGATGTGTATTTGGAGAGTCTTTATCTCCCATACAAAACCAGCAGTAATGACAGTACACAAAATGCAACTCCTCACTATTCTTATTTCCACAACTGTCAAGGGACCTGTTTTGCTGAGGTTATCTTTGATATAATATGGAGAGAAACTAACATAAACAACATGCTAATTTAAACAAATGTGTTCATCCTTCTATGGTAGAAATAACCTAAAACAGCTAAAACAACCGAGCCACATCTTGCAGCCACACAGCTCAGAAAATTAATTTGAAGCCTAACATACTCTGATGGTCCCTGAGACAAACAGAATTAAATTTGTCTGACAAGTTAATTTCATGTTTGATTTTATTTCCTTTTCTGAGTCACTCAGACACATCAGAGATTAACCTCTCTGGCTTGGATGTTGCTGTTCCTCCTTACAGAGACAGCCACAATGATCAGCCTTCACTGCAGATCAAAGATGAGGGCTGTAGGTGTGCTGCAATATTGAGAACAGACAGTTTAGTTCTGTCTGTGCCACTGATAATGGGAAAGGATGAGGACATTCACCACAAGTCAGGCTCCCTTACTTACTTAGAGAGGGAGAATCAACACCAACATTACCGTGCATTTTGTTGCTTTCCACAAATTTCTCATCCAGCAGGTTGATCTTGTGATTTCCCTTACTGAAACGTTCCACATTCTCCTCCAAGTACCAGGACTGATTTTCATCAAAAACCAGGAAGAGCAGAGCAAACTCCCTCTTCACATCCTTCCTGCTCCCACTGGAGCGCAGGGCCCCTCTCCGGCAGACCTTCAGGGGCCCGATCAGCCCACTGTACATGTCCTGAGCAGAAGGAAGGAGAGCTGAGCCAGGGACCTTCTCACCCTCTTTTATGCAGTTCTTTGCCTTTCAGCAATTGTTTTCTATTACCCCATCACCCCACTTAAAACAACCAGTGCTTCTGTACAATTATTCTTGTTGGAGAGCATCAGCCACTGAAGCACAGGAACAGGAACTGTATGTGCTCTTATAAATGCAAATCCAAAAGTCATAAATATGGATGGTATCAAAGTATTTTGCACTTGGTGACTGCAAAAACATCTGCAACTTGAGATAAAAAGGCCATTATTTCTGGGTTGAATGCGATGGTTCACATTCACAGGTTTACAACCTGCAGGATCCTCCAGGTTGTTGCCCTGTGAAATTAGTGCTATGACACTACTAGCAATGGTCAAATCTGCCTGCTTTATTCATGAGGTTTATTTTGGACAATTTCTGCCTTTTGTAGATTAGCCCTATGGCTCTCACCAGTACAAACCATGATCAACTGGGAGATGTTCTAAAAACCTACAAATAACTGGAGGGAGATTAGTAGCAAGGAGAGACAATGGAATTGTTTTATGAAGGTTTGTTAGGAAAAAAATAAGGACAGACATCAGGAAAATTCAGATTATTTCCTCTCCATGGAGAAGGCTGGACATGTTACCAGGTGATTCTTCCACCTCTTACCTGGGCCAATCTCTAAATCGTACCCAACTCACATTGATTTCTAAGTGGGGTAAAAAATTTGTCTAATGAAGTTTTTATGGCTATAACTTCTATTTTACCTTTACTGGGTCCACTGCAGAGTAGTAGATCCAAGGCACACAGGCTGAATCATTTGGCCCTGGCCCAGCTCTCTCAGGAACTTCCCAGCGGTATGTCACAATGTCACCTGAGGGACAGAGCAGCACCACACACCCCGTGACACACCCACTCACCAAGGGGCAGCAAAACCAAATGGAAAAAGAAAATCCTGTCTCCAAAACCCAAATTAAATTCTGTATTTGCCAGATATTGCATCTGCCTTACCCAAACACAGAGCAGGCTGGAAGATCCCCTCTCAGAGCAAGACTGAGGGGGTCATAGGATGTAAACAATGTCTGGTACCAGCACAATACAGGTTTATCTGCTTTTGAGACTGGACTTGACCATGGAAATGACCATGGAAGCTCATTCAGATGGAGCTTAAGATAATCTTTCTTCTCTTTGAAATGAATTTATGATGCTGATTCAAATTGGGGTTTAAAATCACCCTTTTTTCATATTAACAGCTCATTTCACAAAGACAGGATCTGGATGACAGCCTGACTGTGGCTTGGACAGTTTGTGCAAGCTGGAGGGGACCAAAAATTAAATACACTGGTATCTGGATCATAAGACAAAGTGGCCATTTTGGTCAGATCCCAGCAAGCAATTGTGCATTTCTCCCATTTCATTCCATTTTCATACTTTTGTGCTCATGCATCCCAAAGAAGAGACTCCCCCATCCCAGGAGCAGCTGAGCTGTCACCTGCCATCACCCTCCCCTTCCCACAAACAGACCCCACTCAGTGTGGGGGGATAATGCTGCACACAGAAAAATGTCCTACTCATGTCCCAGAGGGCTGCCATCCCCACACAAATGGTACCACTGAAACTGTGCTGGACCTGAAAAACCAGTTACTGCCCAGTCCCAGCACTCTACTGTAACAAAACCAGGACATCTGAGGCTGCTGAAGGAAACCAGTGTGGCTCTGGGATAAAATCAGCAGTGTGAGTGAGCCCACACAGGAATGCAGCTAGAGAAGGGACCTACCAGGGTTTGCCACCTGGGGGTGTCCAGCCTGCTGCTCCAGCACCCCGTGTGCATGGATGGAGTAGGGCCGTGAGGCGTTGTTCTTGAACACGACGTTGACAATGTCGCCCACCTCCGCCCACAGAAAAGGGCCTTGAGAGAGGAAGAGTGAGCTCTGAGACCAGCAAAATCCATCAGCACATCTCCTGGGATATTCCCACCCCTCTCTCAACATCTTCTTCCCAGAAATATTGCCTTATAATATTTATGATGTTCCCCTTCCTCTTTGCTACCTCCCAAAAAGAGAATTGGATGTCAGTCCTAACCCAAGTCTTGGGAAACCAGAATGATTTTCACAATAGGACAATGAAGGAGGTTACACATCTTAACTGGGGCCAGCACAGCTAAGGCTTGATTTCTGAATACTGCTATGGTAAATATCCCATGTTGATCACCACTTGTTATCAGTTTCAAAAAATGTAGTAATATTCAACTGAGCCCGACAGTGTCGCAAATCAGAGCTGCAGTTTTGAGTTGCAGATGCTGCCCTGACACCACTTACAGCCTTGGTTCATAACTCAGAGTTCTGTCTCCACAGACCTCCACTAGTCAGTGCAAAATGCTCCTCCACTTCCCAAGGCTGCCTGCTCTTGCCCCATAAGCATTTCTCACATCTACAGATTTCCCCCTCTATTTCTCACACCCCTGTCCAGAAGTCAGTGGTTGTTTCTGTCCCACAGTCAGAGACATGCAGCTGTGAAATATGCTTTGCCCAAGCCACAACAGAACACTGGTGCAAAGGCAAGTGGAAAAGCCCAGACTTTCCTACAAGCTGTGCACAGGACTCCTCTAACTGCTGTCTCCAAGGCAGCAGATGTGAGTAGGAGACAATTTCTCTGCACTGACACAGGAGATGCCTAAATATCCAGTGAGCCTTCAGATTACAGCTGTGAGCCACTGCAGCTTTAGAGCCCCAGTCCCATTTCTGTGTGAGAGGAAGGTGAACCCTGTGAACAAATCCTTACCCAGTATCCCCAGGTGCTCTTCACCACTTATTCTGGCCTTGGGGGTTTGGAAAGTGCCATCTGTGTACTCCCTGTAAACTGCTTTCTTGTACTTGGAGCCAAGCAGTCCATTCTCATTGCTCAGAAACACATCAGCATAGCTGGGAAATGCAGAACAAGTGCTGAGATTTACCCAAACCTCATGGGGAACAAACAACTAACTTGTGTCAGGGGGTTCACAAGCTGCAGGGGCTTCCCAGAGCCAGCCTGGGCTGCAAAGGAGAACATAATGACACGGAGGGCTGCGCTCCCACCAGCAGCACCACCAGCACGTGCACCAGGTCACACAGGGTGACCAAGACACCCAAGAGGCTCCAGCAGGGTCTGCTGGGCCACTGGCAGAGGCTTCCCCAGAGGGTGGGCTCTACCTCTGTGCAGAGTGGTTGTGGCGCTCCCTCTCCCAGCTGCGGTCGGGCGCGTAGTCCCAGAGCAGCTCCTCAGCGGCGAGGTAGAACGTCCTCACTCCCCTGTAGTGATGGGCAGAGCCCGTCCTGCCACACCTGGAAACGCTGTACTGCTGCCTCATCCCAGACTGGTAGTGATTGCTCGTCTGGCAGTAGATCTCAAAAGTCCCTGGGGGAGGCAGGATGAACAAGGAAATCAGTTGCCTTTGAAGATTCCAGGAGAGCAGTGTCAGTATGTGCTTGGTGTATCTCTGTGCTGCTTAGGGAGCTTGGCTGCCACAGGCCAAGGTTAAAAGGAGTCACTGGAGAAATCAAGCAGGAATGGCACAACAAAGTGCTACACAAACATCATCTCAGGAAGCTTTCCTACACAGTAAGAACCTGTGGCAGAGCTGACCCTGTAAGAGTTCATACCATGCTAGACAATCTGTCACAGGAGCAAACACCACAATGGGAGACTCTTCCATCTGCCCAGACAGCTGTGCAGGCACTCACCACTGTGATCAGGCTGCATGAAAGCAGTGGCAAACGTGTGTGGGAACAGCTTGGCTGAATCTCTCCGCATGCCGTTGATCTGCAGGGTGTTGCCCTGGAACACAGCTCCATGGACATCTGCCTCGCTGCCCAAGCCCAGGAGGTGCCAGGACACTCTGTCTCCTTCACACACATCCAGCCCAGGCAAGTTACCAAACATAAGTCCATTGATGGCTGGAAAGGAGAAAGCAATTAACTCTCTGCAGGCAGGTGTCAGCTAGGAGATTTTGAGCATACACCTTGTAGCACAAGCCTGCCAGTCAGAAGAAAGGTAACTTGTTTGTAATTCACCCCTGGGTACACTGAGAGCACACTTCTCCAGACAGCTGTGCTGCTTGTCCATGTCTCTCCTGGTGCCTCCAGCCTGGCTTGATTCCAGGCAAACACCACACAGCCCTTCCAGCCCCCAGCTCAGCCTTTAGGTGAACATCAGCCCGTGCTTTGCAGGTTCATCCCTGATGTCAGAGAGCAGCATCCAACCATACCATGCATCCTGTTGGATTCCTCAAACTCATCATCCTTTTCCACAGATGTCTCTTCCATCCTCAAGTAGTACTTTATGTTGGCATTTAAATACCAGCTGAGGTTCTCGTCAAACACGTTGAAGAGAAGATAAAATTCTTTGTCGATCCCTTTCTATAATTACAATGATGGTTGTTAACTTTTAAAATGCAACAATTAAGTATCCTTAGAGTTAAATCTCTTTTGCTTGGGCCTTGTATTCCCCTTTATTTTAAAACATGGCTTATTGAGGGACAGGATTCTGTGCCTTTAGTCATATTGAACATTCCTCTTTTATTTCACAAAAGGCATCACTTGTGCATTTTCCATTATATTTCACATTAATAAAATGAACAAAACTCAGTCAAGGCCATGAAGTCTGTGCCCCCTTCCTCCCCTACACCTGTCTGTCCAAACCAGTCCCAAGACCAGAGCCCAGACACAAGGCAGGCTGATGACCACACCACACCCCTCCTGCCTCCTATCACAGGCCTGGATTGGGGATTTTTTAATTACCCTAAATCCTTCAAAGTGTTAATTCTCCTAAGAAATGCACTCCAAACCGTGGTGTTTCCCATTAAAAGAATACTGTGATGGTGTCCAGACTCTCCTGCTGGTGTCACTGTCCCCAGCAGCACACAGGCAGCCAGCCTGCTGAGAAGGTGAGCCATTCCCAGGCTGCAGCACATGGGTACAGCAGAATGGCCATGCACCTTCCACAGTTAAACATTCATTCAAGGTTTGCCTGAGATTGTGGAGCCAGAATTGCCACCCCAGGTGATTTCTCTTTCTTACATTCACAAAGGTCTGTCTCTTCTGCTTACATGCTTCCAATACCTGCCCATGTTTATCATTATCACAGCTCCTTCACCTCAAGGGCTGTATGTATTCCCAGTGCTCTTTGCTCAGCAGATCCACATTTCCACCCTGGGTGCACATTGATTTCTTCTGCACTCCTGATTTAGTCATATGGTGTCCCCACTGACTGTGAGCTCCCCCAGGAAGGCTCTGAGGACAGTCCCCAGATCTGTCACCAGTCCCTGAGCCACACTGCAGGACAGCAGTTGGGGTTTGATTTGCCATCTGCTGTCTTTTACAACAAGGCTCTGCTCTTCTGTCTGGTACCTCCTCAGGGATATCAATTTACTGTCTTCCCTAGATTTACTGCCAGGAAATCTGAGTGAAATTCCAAGAGGAAGTTCTGGCTTCCTTGAGGTTTCACCGCTCTATCAAAAGCATAAGACTGACATGGATTTTCACATGTTTTTTTGTAGCCAGCTCTGCTTGAAAATTAACTTCTCCGGCAGAATAAATGAGGCTCACCCAAACCTCAAAGCATTGTATCACCCAAGCAGAACACCTGCAAGCAAAAATGCCTTTTCAGAGCCTCTCTGAAAGCAGCCTGCTACACAAGCCTCAGGGCAAGAAATAAAGTAACTGCTACAAGATAACAGTTGTTTAGCCAAGTTTATCTGTGAATTAAAAGCAGAGCTCAGGAACTGTTTTGAGGGCAGCTCTTGAGAGCCCAGAACACTAATGGCCTTTCCCAGAACACTACTTGCCTGGAAAAAGCTGATACCAGCTGCACCAGCATCAACTTGGCCAACAACAAGGCTTTGATTTGACTCTCCTGGACTCACACTACTACACATTTGTTTTTAGTATGCTAATGTTTTCCTGATGCTTTCATGTAGAGAAAGGAAGCAAAGACCTGGTAGGAACAGGGCAGGAAAACCCCTTTACCTGCTTGTTGTTGTCATCCAGAGTGCCTGCCTTGCAGATGAGCAGAGGCCCCACTAGGCCCGAGCTGGAGTCTTTGACAGGGTTTGCAGCTGAGCTGTACATCCAGGTGAGGCAGGGAGGGTCACTGGATGTGGGCCCCACGTGCCTTGGCACAGTCCAGTGGTAGGTGAAGTTGTGCAGTGGTGCCACAGAAACCCCATTCTGGGACAGGCCTTTAAAACAGGGATTACAGGGTTATTCCCAAATCCCTGCACAAACTCTGTCACACCTTCTCATCAGCTATTTTCAGAGCAGGCTCTACTTAATTTGTGCCAACCAAACACCCAGCACCTCTGATGGGGGGTACTCAAGGAAAGGGATCCACCAACCATCATGGTACCACATCCCCTCTGATGCCTTCCCATAGGACACTCCATGTGGATGGATGCTGAAGGGCCAGGAGGCTTTGTTAAAAAACGTCACCAGGATGGTGTCACCAACTTCAGCTTTGATCACCGGACCTAGAATAGAGCAGGGAGAGCACATCAGCAACAGAGCATTTCCCCAGGCCATCAGAAAAACCAAAGCAAACAGGGCACCTTCCTCCAAGCTGCAGGGCCAAAAATGAGAGGCAACAGATGGTCTGGCTTTGCTGCTGCTGAAGGGAGCTCAATGGGAGCAGGGGCTGGCAAGGATTGTCTGAAAGTAGTTTGGGTGTACAGGAGACCTCAGAGAGGCATCACACCTTCATACAGGGAAGTAACAGAACAGGCAGATGTGCTGGAATGCCCTCAGGATCAGCCCATGTCTCTCCTCCACCCATGTATGGCCCCCTCAACCACCCAAAACACGTGCTTCAGAGGTGTGAGATGCTCCAAGCCCAGCAGAGTCTGTAAACTCACAACCCAGCTGGCCAGAGAGGAGCTATGAGCCTTCACCATGCCTGCTCCTGAAAACCCATCCAGGAGAGAAAGCTCTCTGTGAGAAAATGGGGTTTGCAGCATGCCTTGAAATGGGCTCAGTCAAAAACACATAACCAGGAGCTACTGCTGTGATCTGTTTAGCTCTAGTCACAGAGACTATACTGCATCCCTCACTCTTACCTCTAGAACACCTTCAGAATGACCCCTGAAGTGATTTTGTCCATTCTACCACCCTGCACCTTGCCTTGCTCAGATGTGACTGTTGTGAAGCAGCTCTTGTGCCCCTCCCTGCCCCCCAAAATGAGCAGGCAGGCACAGCCACCTGGCAGTCCCACCATCAGCACCCTTCAGACAGACACTGACAGAGGATTTGTATTCCTGGAGGATTCTCACCAAGTATTCCAAGGTGCTTCTCCTCTTCTGATTGCTGCTTTTCCTCTCGAAAGCTCTCATCAGTGTACTCCACATACTTTGCCTTCCAATAGACACCCCCAATGCGGTAGAGGCTGCGCTTGAAATACTGCTCAGCAGGACTAAATGCAAAAAGCAAATGTCAGGCCATGTCACAGAACAATGAGCCCTGCTCCCCTGCTCCCACTGGCAAGGCCATCAACATCTCCAAATCAAGCAGTATTTCAGACAAGGACAGCACCTCTAGTTTGGAACAAGCACAGCTTGGATTCTACAAAGCTTTTTTGCCCTTACAGATTCATCACTTGTGTGCGTGTTCAGGGAGCACCTGTAGCACAAAGCCCTCTCCCAGGTGAGATCAACATCACTACCACAAGATGTGTGAAGGAATGAACAAAACTGCAATGCAGTCAGTGGGCAGGCAGTGCTAGAACTCCAACCTCTTCAGAAGCTGGGGACAGCCCCATTCCCAACTACAATAAACAGTTGTAAAGGTATTTATTTCCTCCACTACCACCCTCACCAAATATAAGTAACAAGCCTTGCAGGAGAGGCAGTGCAGTTACAAGGCCAGCTCACAGGTCTAAGGTCTGCAAGGTTTGCTGCATGACATTGGGTAAATAATTAACGACTCTACATTTCCTCTTCTCCATCTGAATAAGGAACATCCTCTCCCACAGATTACTAGGGAAGGGACGTCATCTCTGTGGAAGGAGAAGAATCTCTTTCAGTTAGCCAAAGACTGAACAGGAAGTCTTTCAACTGATAGCCCTGATCATGGGATGGAGAGCTGCCACCCAAGTGCTGGCATCTGATTTCCTAGAAATTGCATCCTGCAGCAAAACCAGCCTGAGGCCCATCTGCAGGACAGCAATGCCACCCTGTGTCTGCTGCACCAGGGGCTTTTTGAATAATTTCTCAAATAGATCAATCTGTTCCTAGGTTAGGCACAGCAAGCAGAAATGAAGCCCAGAGACAAATGTGGCAGCTCATGGTGTACATCTGCTGGGACTTCTGCTGCTTGTGGGTACAGCTGTGCCACACAGTCCTCTCATGGGAAGGCCCCAAGGTACCTGTGCTGCTCTCAGTGCAGTCCAGCTACAGCAGGGTTTGATTTTCCTTCCCAGGAAATGCACCCCATGTGAGCAGCAGGCATGAATTTTGAAAAGAAAGAAATTCCACACTTTCTTAAGCAGTGTTCCTGATACAGGCCAGACTCCCCAAACCCTGCCCAAGCCCAGCAGGCTCTCACTCACCTGTCAGGGTCAGTGAGCTGCTTCCCAGTGAGCTGGTCGAGGGCTGAGGGGCCGTAGTCCCACTGCACCTCCTTGGCAGCTATGAAGTATCTCCGAACTCTCCCTCCCAGGCTGGCGGCTGCAGCTTGCCGAGAGCAGGGCCGGACCTCATAGAGTGCCCCCATCCCAGCTGCCCAAAACATGAAGGTGGACACTCACTTAGCCCCTCCAGCCAGCCTGATGGGCAGTCCCAGCTCCCCTCTGCTGTCCCAAAAGGCACATGGATGGGAGAAGGTGAGAAACTCCACAGCAAGGAGTTCTGTGAGCAGAACTTCCAACCTTAGATATTGGATGCTATGGAAGTATGGATCTAGAGTGACTGGAGTCTTCTGCTGTCCTCAGATCTATCATGCAAGTGCCTCTTACAGAGACCAGAGCTCTTAAGGCACTGCCTCATCTCTGCTTTCAGCTGTACCCAACACCAAACATCACACCATGGTACAAGTCACCCCCACCAAAGCTGCCTTGCACATTAGTAACCAGCCCACTCCAATTTTACAAGACAGAATCACAGAATAATGAGGTTGCAAGAGACCTCTAAGATCGTCGAGTCCAAGGCATCACCCACTCATTTGTGGGTGATAGGGAAAAATGTCATAGGGACATTTTTCCACGCCCAAGACATTGTTCCCTACCACACTGTACATCATGTACATCAAAACCAGAGGACACAGAGTCCACAACATATTCCACCCCCTGCCTTACCTTGTATGTGATCATTGACCTGGCAGCTCAGCAGCCATCTCCCAGGGTTCCTGGGGATCATATCTGCTGTGACAAAAGTGGCTGGGAACAGGCTGGCCACGTCTGTCCTGTGGCCCCGGATTTTGAGTGTCTCTCCATGGAAGTAGGCTGTGTGAACATCAATCTCATTGCCCATCCCAAAGAGGTACCATGAAACAGAATCCCCAGCACACATCTTCAGCTCAGGGAGGTTGCCAAACACATAACCATTAATAGCTGCAAAAACAAGCAAGCCAAAATTAGAGAGCAGAAAAGGAGCCTTCAGAGGAGCCTTCCTGCCAGTGGGTGACAGCACAGACACAATAGGATGATGGACCTAACCAGAAATCCTCCTCCTCTTCTGCTTTGGAGAGCTCAACTCCACAGCTCATTCCTAAAGCCAAGGGTATAAAAGCTTACTCAAGCCAAAGATAAGAAACCAAAACAATACTTCAATTTTCTGGAGCTGTTGCCCTGTCCCTGAGATATTTATTAAGCACATGACCTCAGAGCAGATCCTGGAGCTCTGACACTCCTGAGTGTCTCAGCAGACACAGTGGCCTCACAGAGGTGACACTGACCGTGCATTTTGTTGCTCTCCTGAAACTCCTCATCTTCTTTGTCCACAGAGCCAGGATCTGTGCAGAACAATGCAATGTTCTCATCCAGGTACCAGCTTAGGTTCTCATCCACCACACTGAACATCAGAAAAAAATCAACATCCACATCCGAGCGCCTTTGAGAGCTGCCAGTCAGCGTTCCTGAGGTGAAAGGAGAGAGGAATGAATGCAGAAAATAATCATGCAGAAAATTACACATCAGGCAAGAGATGAGAACCACAGCAGCAGAGAGAGTCTTGTCACATGAGCTGGAAACAGATGCTTTCCCACCACCCTCACAGCTCACCCTTTTCCAATGTATCCCTGCCAATACAGCTCTCTCTCCCAAGCTGCTCTGCCACTGCACACCTCAACTACAACACCTGCAGTCTTCTCACTGCTGGAACCAACCAGTCACCATGATTTTCATACACAAAGTAGATCTTGGGCAGAAGTCTTGCTTTTAACATGGATTCAAGCAGCTCTCTTGGATCAAGAGGCCTGCAAGCTCACCTGCCCAACCACTATGGGATAAGGAGAATGCAATGAATACAATGACCAGAATCCAGCCAGAGCCCAGGTACTGTCCTCTCTAATCAAGCTGCATTTCCCCCTGAAGCTGGGAGCTGCACAGAGTATCTTCAAATCCTATCCCTATTCATGTCACCACAAGACCTTTTACACTATGGAACTGCAGGCCTGAGCTGCTTTCTCCTGGTGTTTTTACCTGTTTTACAGGTAAGCAAAGGCCCAATTAATCCAGATGCAATGTCCCTAGGTGCATCAATATGAGAGTGGTAGATCCAGGTCAAGCAGTTTGGGTCGTCATCTGTTGGACTGTGATCTTCAGGGACAGTCCAAGTATAGGTGTAATTCCTTCCTGGGAAAACAGCATCATCCTTCTTCTGATCCTGGGGGGACATATCAGGATACAGGGATCCTAGAACAATTGAGCAATCACAACATCCATTCAAGAAGAGCCAAGATGCCCACACATGTCACTTTATACTGAGCTGAGAGTCACCATCCCAAGGCTGAAATAGTGTTTAATCATCACTTCCTCAAAGAGGCACTGAGGCACAGAGCCACTGTAAGGCAACTTGCCCAGTAAACAGGTCAGCACACAGTCAGCAGGATTATTTCCATTCTGCCTAGGGCTGCTTTGCCTTCAGTTCTGCACTCTGCCCCCACAGCCAGTCTCTCTACAATCTCTAGAGCTGATCAGTGTTTTAGAGGTTGTAAAATCAAGACATCTGGGCCCAGGTCAGGACTCCAGCCCCATGACCCTGCTAACCCAGTGCTTGGTGTCTTCACCAAACACCCAAATGCAGTTGCTTTATGGACAGCTCTCCTCCATGTATACTCCTAAATTCCCAGTGAGAAAAATCTGTCTCCATGATGGCAGTAGCTCATTTACCTTCAGAGTCCTTTTTGTAGAAAACACCATGAGGATGGACTGTATATGGTCGAGTAGCAAAATTTTTTAGGTGTACTTGAATGGTATCCCCCACTTCTGCTCGGATGACAGGCCCCAGGAAGCCCAGCCAGGCAGGCTTGGGGATCTCAGTGGTGTATGTGGAGTCTGTGTACTGCTTGTAGACAGCCTTCTTGTAGGTGCTTCCCACCCTGTCCTTCCCAGACTGCAGGAATGCTGAGGCCTGGCTGTTGAATTCAAAGGGAAAGGCCATGAGTCATCATTATACACAACAGCTGGTCAATACTGCAGCACAGGGATGGTGGCACTTCACTTCCTGGGGTATAGCCAAAAGCTTTGGCATTAGAGGACCCTGGGATGCTCTAAGACACCCATGCACAGCCACAACCTCAACCCCAGCTCTTCATCAACACACACAAAGTGCTCCCTGAACTGTGCCCTGCACACAAGACATGGGAAGGACAGTGCTTCCCAGACAATCCCATGTGGGTGTCACAGGGAGAGCCCTTCTCATGCCTCCTTCAGCCTTCACTGGGCTCTTCAAAATTCACTTTGATTCCTCTGTGCCATTTCCAGTAAATCACAAGGCAGGGAGAGTGGAGTCCTGAGCTCTCTGGCCAAAATTTCAGAAGTCTGAAATTCTACTTAACAGTTTCCAAATTCCTTCCAGAGTGGCAGAAGGATCAGGCAGGTTCATACCCAGCACATAACCAGCTTCCAGAACTAAAACCTCCTACAGGCACTAAAGTTTAACTCACAAGCATATTTGCTCATTATGGGTAATTCTTAATAGATAAGAGATGAATCACAGTCCAGGTATTACCGGAACCAGCCTAAATGAGAGACAAGGTCACATCCCTCATTTCCCCCTTGGGATTGATCACCCCCAGCATGAGCAGCCCTGCAAGGGAGGAAAACCCTAGTGCAATTCTCAGAGAATCAACAGTGGAGATGCAAACACTAAACATTGGCCTCATCATTCAAAAACAGGCAGGGCTTGGCTCTGGCTATACAATCCAGAGTTCAGCCCTTTGCCAAGTCATCCCTGCAGCCATTATCAGCAGAGTTTAAGACGTTTTACAGATGTGCCTCTTTCTCCACACAGTCCATTTCTTCTGAACCAAAAAAAAAACCTCCTTGAAATAATTTACTACTCCTATCAATCATATCAACATCTCATCCCTTTCTAATTGCCACTTTCATTTCTGCAATCATTGGACAAACAGGTCCCATTAACTAATTGTTTGCAGTGTCAAGAGTTTTTAAATAGCTTTTAAGTTCAAGGGCCCTGAATTTCATTTCCTTCTCTTCATTTATTTTGAGAGAAACCAAACAAAATCCAGTGTACTCATTACCACTTTAGGAGTCAGCAGTAACATCTTTATTAACCCTGAATGTTGGGGTGTTTCCTGTGAACTTATTTACATCCACACAGCACCTCCAGAGAACAGAGACTTTTCCATGCTAAACTGACAGACCTTAATGTTTCTGTGCACCCTTCTTGTTCCTGTTGTGCTGTTTCTGAAGGAGGCGTCTGAACCTGAGTGTTAGTTATTTTGGAAGGATAAAGGACTGAGAGAAGGTCAAAAAATACCAGCTATTTGCCACAGAAAATGGGAGCAAGGAAAAAGGTTCAAATGCCTTTAAAATACTATGGAAACCTTAAAAAAAAAAGAAAACACGCACACAAAAAAACACCAACCAAAGAAAAAGGCTTGATGTTATGAAAGCTAAACCCAAAACACTATTTGTGCAGTAACTTGAACCAATTATTGCAGTTTCCAGATTTACTTTCGCAAGAGAAACAAAACTGTTTTTCAAACAGCCTCTAAAATCCCATGCAGGAAGTCCCATTAAGTCTAAGGCTCGAAATTCCACTGAAACAAAAACAAGCTGGCTCTGTGAAGTCATTTATATAAAGATGAAAAGTCATCATGCTTCAGGATAAACAAGCTGATCACCAGCTGGAACTAAGCAAAATGAAACTTCAGGGTAGAGCATTGCAAAATCTGGGCAATTTTAGAACAATCTGTTCTGCATCTGCTCCATTTTCTGTTCTGTGTTTGTTTTCCATACTCTTCTCTCCAGTGTATGGGTTCTGGACTCTCCAGAATAACCATCCCTTTTCCCACTGACACAGGTTTTACCACAGGAGCATAAACCAAGTTAAACATTAAGCTCATAAAGATCAGAATCTACAGGAGTGTGTCTCTTGCTTGCTCAGATGCCCCACAGAACTTGCATTAAATTCCACATCAAAAGACAGCTCAAAGCCAGCCCCAGAGTAAGTTCTGTACCTGTTACGTGCAATACTCTGGTTAGCAAGCACATTCCTCCCAGTTGGAGCATAGTTCCAGTTCACCTCGTGGATGCCCAGGTAATAAACTCGGATCACACCCCCAGCAGATGTGGGTGACAGCAGGGGGATGCAGAGCAGCAGCCACCAGACTGAGCCCATCTCAGCCTGGAGGGAAGGGGCTTTTTTGGAAGCTACACCTGTTTGGGAAAGACAAAATGAATGAAACAGGATATGACCATTTGGTTCAAAGGTGCTGGACATTTTGAGAGAGTATGAAAAAATCAGGGGTTATAATAAGTATTATTGGAATTATTACTCAAATATTGAAGAAGGAAATCACTCTGTAACAAAATTGATACTCAAGGCAGATGGAGATCATGCCATGGGTAATGAGTCCCCAAAACCAAATGCGCTGCTCTCATAATAGTTTATTTAACCCTTTTTTCACTATTGCTCACATTCCAAATCATCTTACAGTTCCAGATACCAAGCTCAACAAAACAGTCCTGGTATATGTACATTTTAAACTGTCACCAAGGTCACTCTATTTTAAGTAACCTGAGGAAGTACAGTTTAGTCACTATGAAGTAATTTTAAATTTTAACTTCTTTAAAGATGGCTCTGAGGGAACAGCTATCTGTAATCCAGGAGTATATCTCAAATAGGCTGCACAAAGTTTTTCCTTTCTGTTCTGTTCTTTTCCCCATGATTTTGATCAGCAAATAGCTTACTCATAAAACTTCCAATTGACACCAAGCTTGTTAGCACTAAGCACCAGAAATACTCTAAAGAGAGTTGGGAAATAGTTGGGGAAACTGTCTGAAATCATCAAAATACAGTTGAATAAAGGCTCAAAGAACCTTGTGAATAAAGGCTCAAAGAACCGCCTGTATGAAGGAGAACCTGATGCAATATGGGCAGTAGAATTACACCAAAAGATAAGGAAGGATTAAACTGCATTTAAAAATCACATTAAAATGTCTACAGAAGTTCTCATACAATGATATCCTTAACAAAGCTGGATGAGGCCAGCAAACAAACCCCACCTAAACAAGCTGTTGAGATACAGCTCTTGAGACATGCAACAGCAACTCAGAATTGCAGAGAGAAACAGAAAGCAACAGAATGAGAAGCATGACCTAACAAGAAAACTCAGAATAATCAGTTTTCCTTTTCATACAGAAAGGGACGGTGACACAGCACCATGGCAAAGGTTTTTCATAAAGAGACTGTCATTACTTATTCTTACTGTCTTTGTAACAGCAACATGAATGTATAAGGTTTGTCTGCAGCAAAGCTGGATGTTCTGTAAGCTTTCAGCCAGCACAGCATCCCACAGAGCTGCTTTAAAACATCTTCTAACATCTGATACCCAACAGACATGATTCAACCCCAGCACGTGGCAATGGACTAAGCACCTTCAAAGCTTCACTTCTTGATTTTCAAACATGCTGTGCTATTCTCAGAAGCTAATGATCATCAAGTATTGCTGTTTCCAAATAGTCAATAAATTGGACAAAGTTCAGAGACATCTTTCCCTCCTTTCTCAGAAGGAAGCAGTAGGGATCTCTAAATCTGAGATGCTTTGAATCCATCAACACAGCATAGCTCTGCTCCAGTGGCTCCACCAGCATCTCCTGGTCACAGACCTGATAAAACTCAGATACAGAACAGCCCCTTCAGAGCAGCTGTGGGAACAACAGCAGCACACCGGCTCATGCCCACCCCACACACCGCTCAGCTTATTCCCTGCTCCTGTTCACAGGGAGCTAAAACACCTTTTTTTACTCATTCTATGCCAACGTAGACTCAAAGGAAGGAGCCTGGAAAGCCATACCTGTGCTGTTTCACACCGCAGAAGACCAGAAAAAGGCAATGGTGACAACAATACGGAAAGAAACAGCAGCAGCAGCCCTCAGCCTGCCACCACCCAGCCCGAGGGAAGGGCAGCGGGATGCTCCTGACTCAGCCCAAGCTGCGGCCTTCGTGTCAACTCAGGGCAAAGTTCGCGGCAGCTCCGGGCGCCGGGGGCGGCCTCCTCAAGGCCCGGGCAGCCGCCAAGCCCAGGCAGCGGGGACAGGCTGGGGTCTGTGCCGGCAGCACCGGGGCACGGCAGAGCAGCGGCTCTCCAGGCTGGGTGGGAAAGCTGCCCACAGAGACAAACCCGCCGTGCCAGAGCCCAGCTCACCGCCCCACATGGCGCCCACCGGGCTCTCCCACAGCCACCAGTGCCGTGCCCTGCCATGGGTGAGTCAAGGACAGGTCTTTGGCATAGCCTTCCCAAGGCTTTACAAGAGTCCCACCTGGACTCTGCTTTGAGTTTGACCAACATCGCACACACCCCTAGGGTAATTCTAGGGAACAGCAAAAAATATCCCTGAATGGAGAGGTAGCAGATGTCACAAAGTCGGGGCTCACATACCCTTCACTGTAACTAATCACCATTTATTTACTCGATTAGTGCAACGTCAAAGTAACTAAATTAGTTTTAAAAGTTGTTGGTTTCAATTTTTCGTTGATATTAATATTTGCCTTGATTAAGGAAAGAAAAAGAAAGAAAACCAAAAGCAACTCAAGTTTTATACTACATCCTGAATCTTGTACTTCACAGCAGAATCCTCCCCCAGGACTGCCCTATACCGCGTTCCCGACAGCACAAGAATCGCGAATGAAGGGAAATCAGATTTCAGGCGGGTTGGTGGGATCCAACTCCTATCTGACCGAGGAGGACGATGCAGGGATATTCCCTGACACCTGACTGCAGGGAAACCACAGCCCGAGAGCAAGGGGAAAGCAGAAGGAAGGCAGGAGGACGGACGGCTCATCCCTTACGTGCGGAGCGGGAGGCGGCGCGGCGGGGCTGCGGAGCGGGACCGGGAGCGCCGGCGGGGACCAGCCCGGGAGGGACAAAGGGGCTCTGCCTCCGCGGGCTGACCGAGCCCGGCCCCGCAGCGCCGACCGCGCCCGCTCCCGCCCACAGGGCGGGCCGGGCTGCTCCGCCCCGCACCTGCGGGAGCGCCTCTACCGGGCCGGGCCGCGCCCCGGCCGCGCACGCGGAGCCCGATCCGCGGCGTGCACCTGCCTGTCCCGCCCCGCCCTGCCCAGGGCTCGCCCCCGGTGCGGGGAGCCCCGGGAAGGCGGGCGGGGGCGCGGGCGGAGCCGCGGCCAGCGGCACCCACCTGCTGGGCAGGACCGGCGGCGGCACCGAGCGAGCGCTCCCCGGGGACCTCCCGGGGGGACGGCGGCGGCTGCTGCGGTCCCTTTAAATGCCTGCGGTGACGTCACGCAGCCGCGCGCTCCCCCGGGAGCACAACAAGAGTCACGCTCGCGGCCGCCGGGGCGAGGTCTGTCGGCTCCCGCCAATCAGCGGCCGCTCCGCGCGCCGGCCCCACCCCCCGGTGCGTCGCGCGGCGGCGCGCGGCCCGTCCCCGCTGGCGCGGCCCGTCGCGGTCCGAGGATGCGGGAGGCGCCCGCGCTGCCCCGCGGCCCCGCCGCCCCCGGCGCGCCCGGGCCCGGCGCCGTGCCTGGCTTCCTGGCCAAGCTCTGGGCCTTGCTGGAGGATCCGGACAGCGACGACGTCATCTGCTGGAGCAGGGTGAGGCGGCCGCTCGGGCCTGGCCCGGGGAGGCCCGCGCGAAGGACTCGAGGGTGGTGGGAGCGCCGGGCCGGGGCTGCGGAGCCCGGCGGGCGGCGGCGGCGGAGAGCCCCCGGCTGCCCGGAGCGTGCCCAGCCCGCCTCCCCGCCCTCCTCGAGGGGGTGCGGGCGGCCCGGCGTGCGCGGGGCCGTGGCCGGGCCCTCCCCCGTTGCCCGGCCCCCCCGGCAACGTGCGGGCCGCGGTGGCGGCGGGGCCGGCGCAGCGGGACATCCCCGGGGACGGCCCCGAATCCGCGCTCAGCGCTCCGAGCGGGGCAAGGACGCCGTCAGGAACCATTAACTGCCCGCTTTCCTTCCGGAGCGGGGACGGATGTGCCCCGCGGGCGCAGGGCACGGACACGCTGACCAGGCACCCAGACGCGCCCTGTGTTTAGTTTTGTTCCCTGACGTTTTTAAATCCGTTTTTCTCCACTTTTTTCCCAGCTGTTTGCCCTTTACAAAGACAATGATTAAAAGAAACGCAGTATTTTTGTCTTTTTCATGAACAATATAAAAGTGATGCAGAAAGCTCTTCCTGTTTCCAGGAAGTTTGGTCTTGGGCATTTTTAAAATCTGGCACTGCTGGTGTCACACTTACCCCTGGTCACCGCTGGGTTGTGTTGTCTGAACTTTCGGTAACTGAGCAACGTTACGTGGTTATTTTTAGTGATGACATAGCACGTACAATGGAAGAATCTTGTCAGGAGCTGGGCAGGCTGATGAAAGGAGATGCAATCTCTTTAGTGGCATGAATTCCATTGGGCTTGTGCAATGCTTATGTTTATTGGGGGCAAAGGGAGTGAGTTTTTAGAAAAATTTTGCTTTGTATTAAGATCAGTGTGTCAGGGCTTTAAGAAAATTGCCTGTTTAATAGAAGTGTTCCATGTAATTGTGTTTTTGAACTCACACTTTTTAGTCCAGCCCCAAGTGTTCCCACAGACGGTTCACTTGGTGAAGTCTTTTGCTTTTCTCTGCTGTCAAAACAGTCTTTGCTGATTTATGATCTTCACTTAAGAGCAACACCTTAGAAAAGCCGTGCTTATTCACTAACTGTTACTTCTGCTTGTTTCCTAGAATGGCGAGAATTTCTGCATTCTGGATGAGCAGAGGTTTGCCAAGGAGCTGCTCCCCAAGTACTTCAAACACAACAATATCTCCAGCTTCATACGGCAGCTCAACATGTGTAAGCACCAGCACTTCCTCTGCACTCTGTCTGCCAAGTTCATGGCTACTGGGCTTTTTTTTGCATTTCTTTAAACAAGCAAATGGACTTGGCAAGTTTTTCATCCCTAAAAACGCAAGCCCTGGACTTAAGTTTGCTTTACAGAAGAAAAGATTGATGGTAGAGCGTGGTTTAGTGTTGGGTTTTTGTGTTTGAGCTCCAAGTCCTTTAGAGTAACAACTGTAAGAACATGTGCTGGTGCCTAGAGGTAGTGTGAGGTTCCCTGAGCTCCAGCATTGCTCTTGCAGCAAACAGGTGTGTACCCATGGTAGAAGAGGCACTGTGTGCACCCTTACACCTAGAATGTGAAAAAAAATAATTGCCTGGATTTTGGGGCTGCCACTGCTGTTGCCTGCTTTGCTGTGTGGGAACCAGATCAGTCCTGCACTACATTTCTCATATTGTTTTCTCTGCTCAACTTGAGAGCATCGTGTGGCAGCATTGCACAGCACATGTGCAGTGTGGCCAGGCAGAGGGTGCAGTGAGGGTGGCTCAAGGGCACAGTGCAGCATGCAGGGCTGCAGCAACCAACAGGAGTAACTGCAGAAGCTTCTGGAACTGGTGGAGGCACAAACAGCATGGGAGGTGCTGCCTTAGTTAGAATTTCAGACTGAGAGGGAGGAGCTCTCTGTCGTTGCCCAGTAGGTTTGCCTGATCTCATTAGCTGATGCCTGTGTAGGTTTTGTAGCCTGTAGCACATCTGTTTAGTCTCTGGACAGAGGGTAGATGCTTCTGTTCGTGTCCTGTGCTTGTATTTGTGAGATCCATCACTTGAGTGACTGGATAATCCAAAGAAACAATCATCTCTTCCCTTGTAGCCAGGATAAATGAAAAAAAAGTAGATATTCCTATGTAGCTATACAATGTAGTGGTAGCCTCCTTTTCAAGCTGGATCTATCCTGGCTTTCTAATAATAGTTGGAGTGCATTAATTGTGTTAAAACCTTGACTGAGGAGAGACGTGGATTGGTTTGTCAGCTGAATCATGCATCTCTACCCTGTGGTGTTTGAGCAGTGATGGAAATAGAACTGGCAATGCCTTACTTTGTGCAGGCAGTCTAGTATGTAGAAGCTGCTCTGCTGCAGGTGTTTGCATAGGCAGGCATGGAATTAACTTCTTTGCCTTCCTTTATTCTGTAGACCATGGTTGTCAGGGATAAAAGGGAAAGTGTACCACTCCTCTGCATCCACTGGGGCATGATTCTATTCAAGATGTCATAATAAATCTTATTTCTAACCAACTGTTGTGAAGGCTTTTACGTGGCTGTGATGGTTTGGTCATGGCTGGCCTCTGCTGTGCAGCCTGCCAGGGGCAGACAGTGGACATATCCTCTAGCTGTGAAAATCAGAGCAATGAAATAATGAGCACCAGGAAAGGCTACCTTGGCTGTTTTTCATAGTTTCTGCCCCCAGTAACTGTAGTGCAGTGGCTGTTTTGATAACATTGGACTTTTCTTAAGCTGTATGTATTCCAAGTCAGCTTTCAACTGCAAGAAGTGGATTTGTTGATTTCCTCTCCACAGATGGTTTCAGGAAGGTGATTGCTCTGGAGAATGGTATAATTACAGCAGAGAAAAGCTCAGTCATTGAGTTCCAGCACCCTTTCTTCAAGCAAGGGAAGGCACATTTACTGGAGAACATCAAACGCAAGGTACAGTCTAAGCACATGTTTACTTCACTTGGTAACAAAAAGAGGCTTATCAGGAGTTTGTATGGGTGTTCCAAACACAGCCAGCAAATACCATGGGAGCCAAGGTAGCTCCCTCACCAAGCCAGGCCAGTGCTTGGCTGGGCCTCCTTGTGCCAGTGCTTAGACAAAACCTGCTTTGAACTGGGGTAGGACCATGTTCTGTCTCATCATCAAACCACAGCCCTTCTCCACAGAGTTCATATTCCTGATTGCAGCTTAGCAAGGTCTGCAGTTCTGTCAGCATCTCCAGCTCTGAGAAAGGCACAAAGTAAAAGAAGCAAAAGAAAATACATTCCCTTTTGGCACTCATTATAAATAAGCAAGGAAATCAGTAATCAGTTCATTTGGATGAGTTTGCTTTAATTATATTGCTCCTCCAAAACTGTGTTGCCACTAAGCTACATCCTTATGAGCACTTTCTGCTTTTCTTTTGTCTGTTCAGGCCTTGTGTGACCTGTTTCTGCACAGATATTTATCCTCTATTGGCACATTACAGCCCATAATATCCTGAGGAAGAGAGTATCATGATACATCACGTTGACATTTGAACAGCAGGATCTTTTCTTTAGGCTGTTGTCAGGTGTGGCTGCATTGCCCAGGGCAATAAAAGCCCAGCATAGGCTGGAGAGGCACAATGATGTTTGGATTGATTCCTCACTGAGCTGCCCCTGCTGGGAGCCAGGATCGATGCAGTGGCACTGCCTGGGGCCTGTCCCCCCCTGCCGTGTGCCCAGCGTGTCCCAGCCTGCACGCCTGGCAGGGCAGGTGCACCCTGACGTCAGGTGTGGCACCATGTGCCCCAGGGGCGGTGCACTGGGTGGAGTGTTCTAGATGGAAAGACAAAAGCTCTGCTCTGTGCCAAGGATATTCGTGTGAAGTGTTGAATATGTTGGTGAGAGATGTTCTTTGTTGTGCAGGAAATGTTAGTGGGTTTTTTTTTTTTTTTTGTAAAGCAGTCATTAATTTCCTTGCTCTTCTACGGCCTGGAATGGGGCCATATTCCAGTATTGGCTCTAAACTGTATTTCAAGCCTCTGTCTGGAATGCAGGTTTGAATGCAGGACTTGCTTTGCTTCCTCCCTTTCACTTTTAGCTCTGCTGCTGTGCAGACACCCTGTGTGTCTTCACAGAATACCAGACTGGTTTGGGTTGGCACCTTAGAGCTCATCTTGTTCCACCCAGTGCCATGTGCTGGGACACCTCTCACTACACCAGGGTGCTCCAAGCACCATCCAGGCAGGGATGGGAACGGGATTGCTAAGTTTCCTTGGGCAGCTTGTGCCAGTGCCTCAGCACCCAAGGACTGGACACCTTGATTAGCCAGTTGGGGACTCTGAAGAGCAGTTCCTTGTGCTTGGGCAAAATTTATACTGGCCAAATTTTTTTGGAGGCCAGCTGGCTGCATTTGGAATTTCCATCCAGTTCCTACAAATTTTCATTGTCTTCCCACAGAGGGGTGATGTGAAGAGAAATCAGACAGCATTGAATTCCATTTGGGATGCACCCTGTGTACATTAGCATAATTTATTAACTGCAGCAAACAGCAGAGCATCTAGACTGCAGACAGGGAGGAGAGCTGTCAGACCCTTCAGTGCATCCTTTGCACCATGGGATTGTGTCAAGAAAGTAATTAGTCATGTCTGAGAAGTGATTGCACAATAGCTGTGTTCTGTTCCAGCACAAAGGGATGGGATGTTGGTTTATAGCACCATTGGTTCATTTCTGCCCATTCCACTCCCCTTTGGAAGACAAGATGTGTGAGCCAG